ATAGATAGATAGATAGATAGATAGATAGATAGATAGATAGATAGATAGATAGATAGATAGATTTATATATTTGTTTCCTTGGTCAAATTGTCAAGCCAACTCACGACCATAATTTCATCTTGTTTGCTCTAACCTCTGTCGCCTGCTCAAACTCTCCTTAATTCATAGAAAATTTATCATAGCTTATCTTATAATATGCTTTTCCCTCTCTCATATACTTCGTTCGTATCACCCATTTTTAGGGTGATCTAAAACAGTTCCTTCGCTCTAGCAACGAGGACTCGACGATGTTGAGGCGGTTGCCCAGCCTCGGACGTTCACAAAAGTTGTCCCTTTGTGGCCAGGTCGCTCTGGGCATGCAGCACTTGGCTGAAGAACTCCAGCTCGTCCATCGCGACCTGGCTGCTCGCAATCTGGTGGTGTTCTGCAACGGCAGCACTGATTCTGTCGCTCCTCTCGTTGGCTCTGGCCTCAGTTTTGAGGTGAAGATCTCCAGTCCGGGCCTCAGTCGCGACATCTACGCCAACGAGTACTACACGCCGTCGCAAGTGGCCGGCATGGCAACGGCCAGCGGTGGCAATGTTCTTTGTCTGCCAGTACGTTGGATGGCTCCAGAGTGCCTTGCCGCGGTCTCCGAACCAAACGTCCCAGCTCTGGCTGCTTCCGCGGCAGTTGGCAGTTGCTACACCAGTCGATCAGACGTCTGGGCCTTTGCGGTGGTTGTCTGTGAGATCTTCTCATTAGCCGATCACTTGCCGCTAGCTCGGCTCTCCGATCCAGAGATCCTGCAAGCTGGCCGAGCCACAGCGGCAGCAGTGATGACCGGGGCAACTTCAAACGTCGCTTTAAAGTCTACCTCGGCTTCTGTGATGTCGCAACAGCCACTTTGCCCTGACGTACCGAACGAGTTGCCTGGTTGTCTGGCCAATCTTTTGCATCGATGCTGGGCCCCAGTACCGCAACACCGGCCCACATTCGGCGAGATTACAGCACTGCTAAGCGATTTGATGACAGATATGGGAGTCTAATCACATCCGGCCTCACCATTAGACGTCTCCCAGATCCTC